GTGGTTCCACTCTGGCATGCTTGGGGGTGGCTGAGAGTTGGAGTCGACTTGGTGGCAGTTAGTTTTTAACTTAAAATTGGTTTTGCCTTATAAATATGTATCCTAAGGGATGCTTCCAGAATTTCAAAATATGAAAGAACTAAATAACCCAAAGCCCTGGTTAGGAAACTCTCCCAGAGAGTTGAAAAGAAAGTTGTATGCAATACGCCTCTAAGCAACGAAAGAAGAGGCTTCTGAAGTGGGTATTATGGAAACTACGGGAGCAATAATTAAACCAGGCGAGCTCCTCCCATGAGGGACGCATCCTGCCTGTGTGCTGGCTTCCAGGATTAGCCCACACGGCTGGTTCCTGTCTGATTATGTAAGTGAGGCAGAGATGCTTCACGTGGAAATTTCAGAAAATGAAAATGATGAAGAAGGATGCCATCGCTTAGACGAAATCACGGTTAATGCTTTCCTGGTCTCTTTCTTGGTTCCTTCGGGCACTATTTTAGGTCATGCCACAGACGCCGTGTACCCTGGTGTCTAGCATATTCTGTGAGCGTTTCCGTGTCTTTGAGCAGACTTTACAGTAGGAGTCTTTTGTGTGGATGTTCAAGGAGAATGATTTTGTTTTTACTTCCTTCTGGGTGGTGTGGTTATAGTGCTGCAATGAAACATCTTTCTTCTATATTTAAAAAATATCAGGTCAATTCTGACTCCTAGCAAGCCTGTGGGACCGAGTAGGGTCCATAGAGTTTCCAAGGCTGTAAATCTTTGTAGGAAGAGACAGCTTTGTCTTTCTCCCAAGCAGCTGGTGGACTTGAACAGCTGACCATTTGTTTAGCAGCCCAGTCTTTTCTCCACTATACTACCAGGTCTCTTTTTCTTTCTTTTTAAAGACAATGCTGACTATGTCCTTAAGTTAGATTCTCCGAAGAGAAATGACCACTTTAAATGCATGTAAGCTCCTGATAGGCGCAGCTTCCTCCCATCCCAGAAATGCTGTCACTTCACATCACGGTGTCCCGTGTGAGTGTCTCCTGCACCGGGGCTGAGAGTGGTCTGAGTCCAGACTGAAAATATCAGAACTCAGACTTAAACCTGCCAATCTGTTGGTTGAGAAAAAATGGTATTATTGTTTGAATTGAGACATTTAGGGGTTTCTCCCTATTTAGTGTGTGTGTGTGTGTAGTTGTCATTGTTGTTGATTGCCATCGAGTTGAGCACAACTCATAGCGACCCTATGAACAAAAGGCCTGAAGCCTTTCAATAACTATCATCATTTATCAAAGTTCATAGAGTTTCCGGAGGCATGTTGTTTAGGAAGTGGATGCCACTCAAAACCTTCCTTTTGTTTAAGATAAGGAACTCTCGTGGCACTGTGTTTAGGACATGTGGCTCTTAACTGAAAGGTCAGAGATTCAAATCCACCATCCACTTTGAGGAAGATGAGGTAGCCTGCTTCTGTAACGACTGGAAATCCTGTAGGTCATTTCTGCTGTGTCCTACAGGGTCGCTGTGGGTTGGAATCAGCTAGATGGAAGTGGATTTAGTTTGGCGATTTATGGTTAGTTTTACTTGGCTGTAGGGACCTCTGGTGCCCTAAGTGGGTGCCCTAAGTGGGTAAGATATTGCCACCCAAAGGGCAGGAAGTTCGAATCCACCAGCTGTTTTTTGAGAGAGAAAGGAGAAGATTCTCCTTCGTGTGACTTACAGCCTCTGAAAATTGACCTGCCCGAGGGTCAGCAATGGGTCAGTTCTGACTCTGCTACAATGAGTTGAGTTTGGTGATTTCACTGAGCTGCTCACACACCTGAACACCCAGTTAAATATACTTGGCAAAGCGTGCAGTACAAGTGTAGTTGTTTGGGGTTTTTAAGAAATGAATGATTTGAATTAAGTAGAGGAAGAGCAGCTCTCTAAAAGAAGAGCAAGAGTTTTTCAGGAACCTCTCGGAAGCTCAGGAGTGCTGATGGTGTAGTGGTTAAACCCTAAGCTGTTGACCTAAAGGTTGGTGGTTTGAATCCACTATGGGTCAGTTCTGACTCAACAGCAAACAACAGCAGAGTTGCTCTTAGGGAGAAATACGCAGTCATCATTTTCTTAAAGATTACAGCCTTCTGAATCCTACAGGAAAATCTTCTGTCACATGGGGTCACTATGAGTTGGAATACACTCAATGACAACTAAATTTGAGGGGGACAGTGATGTTTCAGGGGTAGAATTCTCAGCCTTCCATGTGGGAAATCTAGGTTCGATTCCCACCCACCTTTGGGTGGACACCACGTGCTGTCTGTCAATCACTACATGTTACTGTGATGCTGAGTACGTTTCAAGTCAGCGTAAACTAGACTAGGAAGAAAGGCCTGGCAATCTAGTGCCTAAAGTCAGCCAGTGGAAACACTGTGTCTCACAAAGGTCCAGTCCTGCTGTGTGCTGGATCACCATGGCCCAGGGCCCACAGGAACGAAGCCAGCCCCGACCATGTGCTCAATATTCCCGTGACCGCTTCAGACAGAGGCTGTCCTGGTCCTGGGGGGATTTGCGGCACAAAATGATGGATGAAGTTTCCATTTGTTTTGGCATTTTACCACAGAATAAAGCAATGAATAGTATTTCTCTTCCCAAGCAGGAATAGATGGGTGATTATTACCCAATCCTTAGATTTATGCAAGCGAACACTGTCTCATGTTTGGTCTGGTAAACACATTGATTATTACCATTCGAGGTTTAGTATTTTTTAAAAACCTAAAACCGAGTCTGCACCTTACCCCTGCCCCCAGGCCAAAAATAGCATCGCTTAAATAGACATGGTGTTCTAAGCTGTGCGTGGCGCTGTTTCTGCACCACCCTTGCCAGCCCTAAATAAGACTCGGCTTGCGAGGACTGTGAGGCAATCACTTAATGAACTCCAGGCTTGTCCTAGCCATCATTTCTTGGAGAGACTTGAAGAGCTGTTACACTGTCAGGTTTACGGTTTTGTGGAGCCAGGAAAGGGTTGGCGAGAATGGAGACGGGAGAGCTAGGAAGTTGTGAGAAAGGAATTGTTGTTGTGAGATGCCATTGAGTCAGCTGTGGCTCGCAGCGACTCTGAACCATAGGTCTGAACCTTGTCCTGTCCTGCGCCAGCCTCATGGTCTCGGTCATGCTCATGGCCAGTGTGGCAGTCCCCATGTCCGTCCATCTCCCTGAGGGTCTTCCTCTCCTTAGCCGATCCTCTGTACTTCCCATAATCCTACCGGAAGGACTAATCTCTCCTAACAACATGCCCAAAGTAAGTGAGACGAGTGTCATCATCACTGCCCTAAGGGACACTCTGCATTTCCGCCAAGACAGAGCTATTTGTTCTTGTGGCCTAGTGGGTAAGGAATTGTGCTGCCAACCCCAAAGCATGTGGTTCGAATCCACCAGCTGCTCCAATGGAGGAAGTCGGGCCATCTCCTCCCGTGTGATTTACAGCCTCTGGAAACCCCCTGGAGGGTCAGCTATAAGTTGGTTCTACCCTTGACAACAATAAGGTTTGGAGGAAGAATTACTGCAGGGGAAAAAGGATAAATTCTTACAGAAGAAATGTTCAAAGCTCCACAGGCACTTCTATTCTTGTTGGAGATGAAGTTCACTGTTTGAAAGCAAGTTCTTGGCAGTGGCAATGGACCACTTTGCTAATTATTCCAGCCTCTTATTGGCTTTTGTTTAACTCCTTAAACACCTGACCATTTTTTAACATTAGATAAACCTGTTTCTGCCTAGAAGTTCCTATCGCTGAAAAGGCTTCTACCTCTCTTTTGTGGTGATTTAATTTTGGGAGTATTTGTTGTAAGACAGAGATAAGGAGTTATGCTTCCAACATAAAGGCAGGCTGTTCGAATCTGCCAGCCGCTCTGGGGTACGAAGATGGGCCATCTCCTTCCAGACAAATTATTGCCTTTGAAAACCCACTGGAGGGTCTACTGGGAGTCAGTTCTAGCCCGGCAGTGCATAACTGTAACAGCAGTCTCCTTCAGGGAGCTTGAGGCGCCCAGTGGGTGAGGAATATGTGCTGACAACCCGAAGGCGGGCAGTTGAAACCCACCAGCTGCTCCACCGATGATGATGAGAAAGAGGAGCCATCTCCTCCCAGGTGATTTACAGCCTCTGAAAACCTGTTGGGGGGCAGCTTGAGTTAATTCCCACTTGGTGACAATGAGTCCCTTCTATTTCATTTTTATTTTATTTGAATCATTGGCTTTTCATAGAAACATTCATAGGCATTTTGTTTTCTAACATTGTCTCTGATTAATAGAATTCATTACAATGTCTAATCATTCCCTTTCCACTGAGCTAGACAGGCACGGGCCTGATGTGCTGACTTGCTAACCTTTGGTGATCATTTCACATACGTGTTCCCACATCTCTCACGTGGTGGGTAGAGGCAGCTGATATTGCATTGCAGAGCTCTGGGGACCCATGCTCATTGGATGGGTCAAGTCTACCAGAGGCACCTTGGAAGAATGGTCTGGCAAACTTCTGACAGATCAGCTTCTGAATACTCAGCGGCCCAGACTTCCGTTTTCATGCAGACAGGGTTGCCATGAGACAGAGCCAAAGAAATGGCAACTCCTTCTGCGCTTGTTTTCTAAATTTCAGTGGCACATTCCCATATCCTCTTCCGAGGGATCCGAACGTAGAGCTGAGCTGCTTGCCCTTGGTTTGCCCACCCCTCCTCACCTCCTTGTCTCTCTTGCAGCTGTAGGCAAGGTCAGAGTCAGCAGAAATACCCGCTCCATGACAATGAACGCTACCGCCCATCAGTTTAGACAGTTTTGACTTCACATTGCCTGGATCTGTCGTCTGCCCAAGAAGCTTTGCATTTCTCTCCTTTTTAAAATCTGAACGCAAAACAAGAGTATCTTGGGTCTGGGCTGTAGCAGGAACCATGTTGAAATTTCACCTGGGGTGGGGCTCAAGTAGAGAGGGGCCACAATTCCACAACCATTTCAACTCGAAAGCATTACGCTATGGATTCTGAAAACAACATCTGAACCTCATTTGAAAATGCAGTTCTTTCCAAACCACTTGATGTGTGTGTGGTGGGGGAGGGGCGTGTCCTGAGTGGATGGAGACGGCTGATGAGCGGTGTGGGTGAGGGTTTGGCCTGGGTGATGGAGCAATGAAACTTGCTAGAAGCTTTTGTACTTCCTCCCCTGCCCTCACCTCCTGCTGTCTGCCACCCCTGTGTGCCTAGCAGTGAGCGTTACCAGCTTTCTGTACAAGCTCCTGAGGGCTGTATTAACACAGGATCACAGGCTGGGTGGATTGCAACACAAGTTTGTTTCCTCACTGTCCTGGGGCCCCCCGTTTAAAAGCCAGGCGTCAGCAGGACCAGGCACTCTGGGAAGGAGGCTCTGTGGTGGGGGAGCCTCCTCTACTGCTTGTGACCACTGCAGCTCTCGGTTACTTGACTCATAGGGGTGTCCCTCAAACCTCTGCCACTGTTTTCACTGGGACTTCAAGCTTGGGCATCTGCAGCCAAACCTCGCCCTCTTGTAAGGACACAAGTCATTGCAATTAGAAGCTGCTTTGCTTTGGGGTGACCGCATCTTAATTCAATGACTATTTCCAAATAAGGCCACATTCATGGGTTCATGGAGTTAGGACTTGAACATAGCTTCCCTCTCCCCATTTATTTTTCTTGTGATTTGAGTAAAGTATACAGAGCAAATTGGTTTTCCTCTCCGGCATCCATTTTGTTTTGGTAAATGAATTCTAATACCAATGCTTTGACACCGTGACAGCCACAATGGGCTTGAGAACTGTGGAGTTTGAGAGGATGGAGCAGGGTCTGGCAGGGAGGTTCTGTCCATGATAGGGTCCTTATGAGTTGGAGTCAGCACAGCAGCATGTAACCCCTCACCTAACCCCTAGTGTGACCATATTCTTCCCACTTCCTCCCCACGACTCTCATTTCCATTACTCCAGCATGTCTTTTTTGGGCCACCATGGAGCCTGTCACACCTTTTTCTTTGTGACACTGTCACAGTCTCAGAAAAGTGCTGAGAGACAGAGCAGAGGGTATTGATGGGCTCCCACCAGGGGGATCAGCAGAGAGCTTTGAGGACCCTGGATAAGTCCCTGAGCTGTTCCTGTAGCAATGGGGGGATTGCTGTGTATGCTGCCACACAAGCATGCCTTGCAGAGATTGTGGGCCGGTTCCAGAGCACCGCGATAGAGTGGATACCCCCACCAGTGTATGTAAAAGTTCCGTTGTTGGGGTGAGGGTGGATGGCACCAATAGACTTGCTGAGCACAAGGTTGCCACAAACCTTTTATTATAAAAACAAAACAAAACAAAAAACCCAAAAAAACACATAGTGTCTGCAAAGCATAAGAAAATGAAATCAATCAATGTGAAAGAATTGTCGGCCTGGCTTGAAAAGAAAGTGTAGCAGCCCGAGACTCTGGGCATTTTAAAGACATGCTTCTCCAGCTTTGCGGGTAACATTCTAAGCCGTGGAAGACAGGACCTGAGAGGAGTGATCAGTTAGAGTGCTCAGGATGGGAAACGTGATAATTTACGGGCTTCGCTTTGTGTTGGAGAGACAGCATTTCTCATTTGTTTGGCTTTTGTACAAACTGAAGGAGTGCAGTAACTTCAGCAAGCAAATACACGAGCATCCTTTTCAATCAGCGCATGCGCACGACCTGTCTGCATCCCTTTCTGGTCATGCGCACAACGCTCATCTTGACCTGAACCAATTGTGTTCACCAGGTTACGTGGCTCATGAGTTTATTTTGGACACACGACCCTTCAAGAAGTCTGCAAATATCGAGGCTGTGGACGTGGCCAAGAGGCTCCAGGATTATGGTGAGTGGACATCTCCTACCTAGGAGGACCTGCCTGTTGCTGCCAGTGCCCGCCAGGATTTCATGTAGCTGCTCAGGTGGGTCCTTCGAGCCTCCATCCCCAAAGCACAGGCGTCAGGTGCCATAGTAACCTGAGCTGTGGTCCCTGAGGTTCAGTGGCTTAGGCTGACAGTCCAAAGCCACCAGCAACTCTACGTCCATCTGCTTCTGTAAGGATTCGGCTGTCCTGTCCTAGATGGTTGCTAGAGTTGGAAAAAACTCAGCAGCACACAACAGCGAATCTTAGATACAGATATGCCAGACTGATGGAATTCTAGTTAATGAGGTGTTTGCTGAAGAGATTACAGATGGCATGTACTGGTAAGCGGTACGTACATACATCATAATGTCCCAGAGTGCTCCGTGGAAGCAAAGATGATAAAGCTTTGTCTTAGATACTTTGGGCATGTTGCTAGGAGAGGTTCTTCACTGAAGAGGGACATCATGCTTGGGAAGATGGAGGGACGGCGTAAGAGAGGCAGACCTCATTGGTACAGTGACTGTGGCAGTGGACACAGGTGTGTCAGAGGTTGTGAGGAAAGCACAGGATAGGGCAGGATTCAGACCTGTTGTTCATCGGGCTGCCATGGGTCATACTCAACTCTGTGGCATCTAACAACACATAGCAACCCACAGAATAGCACAGATGGGTGGGCCCCCCAGACCGTCCACTCTAGGTGACTGATACCTGGTGTTCATAGAGCAGCTTATCTGCATATTTGAAATGTTGTTGTTATGTGCCGTCAAGTCATTTGCGACTCATAGCGACCCTATGTACAACAGCCCTAAACCCTGCTCTATCCTGTGCCAATCGCCCTGCCTCTGACACACCCATCCCGATTACCCCAGTCACTGAATCAATCCACTTCAGAGGGTCTTCCCCTCCTGCGCTGTCCCTCCACCCTACCAAGCATGATGTCCCTCTCCAAGGACCTGTCTCTCCTTATAACATGTCCAAAGTATGTCAGACGAAGCCCCAAAATCCTTGCCTCCAAGGAGCAGCCTGGTTTAACCCTCTCCAGGGTGAATCTGTTTATTTTCTTGGCAGTCCCTGGTACATTCAATACTCTTCTCCAGCAGCATAGCTCAAAGGCATCAATTCTCCTTCTGTCCTCCCTAGTCATTGTCAAATAAACAGTATTTGAAATGTTTATGATAAAATACTGGGGCAATGCTGGGAGGTGTGGAGGCAGACCCGAGGCAGCCTGCTGCACCCCAGCACCTCGGAACCACTGCTTGGCCATTGGCTCGGGCTGTGTATGCATTTGTTAATTGATCTGAAGATTTCCTTAGGAAACTTTGTGCATCAGGGGGCTTTCCATCCCAGTCTGGGTGGCCAGAGTCCACAGCACAAGCTCCCCTTTCTCCACCTGCAGGATTTCATGCACCTACCATGTCCTGGCCAGTGGCCGGGACCCTCATGATTGAGCCCACCGAGTCAGAAGACAAGGCAGAGCTGGACCGATTCTGTGATGCCATGATCAGCATCCGGCAGGAAATCGCCGACATCGAGGAGGGTCGCATTGACCCCAGGGTCAACCCACTGAAGGTGAGTCACGAGCCTGTGTTTTTCATAAACACACATCTCTTGGTGCCTGTCATTGAGATGGTTCTCAACAGTGGCTGCAAATGACAGAATAACCTTCCCTGTAGCTTCCTCAGTGGTAATCTTTATGGAGGGAGCTCTGGTGGCCTCGTAGTAAGAAACCGCACTGCCATCCCTAAGGCATGCAGTTCGAATCCACCAGATGTTCTGGGAGAGCAGAATGGCCAGTTTCCTCCTATGTGATTCACTGCCCCTAAAACCCACTGGAGGGCCAGCTCAGGTCAGTTCCGACTCATCAGCACACGGCAGCCACGGCAATCGTTATGGGGATCCCTAGGCCTTTCCCCCCACAAAGCTACTGGTTGGTGGACTTAAACCACCAACCTTTCGGTTAGCAGTGCAGTGCACTAGGGCTCTTTTACACTTATAGAACAGATGTACTTAAATTATTATGTTGGCGAATAGACGGTGGATTGCTAGAACGTGCCGATCTGTCCTGGAGGTGAGCCAGAGGTGCTCCTTAGAAGCCAGGGTGACTTCCTCTGACGTACTTTGAACCTGTTATTGTGGGGCCCCTCCCTGGAAGAAGGACATCATAGTTGGAAAAGTGCAGGTCAGCGAAGGAGAGGAAGGTCTTGAATGGGGTGGGCTGACATGCTGACACATTAACGAGCCTGGAGCCGTGCTGGGTGGTGCTGTGTTCTGTTGACCATAGTGTTGCTATGAGTCGGAACAACAGTAATGGTATAAAAAAATGATAGGATTGGTAAACTCAGGCAGTTTCAAATGGATCAGTTTCATTATTTTTAAACCAAAAGAAGTATGGCACAACCTGACCCAGTTATGCGGTTGTGGATGTGTCTATTATATTCCAATCCTATCTTTCTGGTATTTGGAATCTGTCATGATAAAACTTTTCAGAGTGGGTCAGTGCCTCCCCCAAAGCAGAAACAAAAGAAACCACCACCCCGGCCTTGTGCAGGGGTTCTGCTCTGACATCCTCCACTGTGTGTCCCTCAGATGTCTCCACACTCTCTGACCTGCGTCACAGCCTCCCACTGGGACCGGCCGTATTCCCGAGAGGTGGCGGCATTCCCTCTGGTAAGTCCTCCTCTGTGCTGACCGTACTGACAGGTGCTCATGTGCACGGGGCCATCATGTACCCGAGGTATCTGCTTGTAAAGTCTCCTCATCAGCGCACTCACACTGGGATAAATGGGGGGACATGACGCGGGAGGAAAGGAATGGACGTCTCATCAGAGCACCCACACTGGGATAAATGGGGGGCGGGGTGCATGACAAGGGAGTGGAGGAAAGGAATGGACGTCTGGGTCCTGGAAACAGAGTCTGAGGATCCACCACAGGCCTAGGCAGGGCCGGGGGTCACCCCACAGAGGTGGATGAGGCCCTGTCAGATCAGAGTCTTCTGCCACTTTCCAACAGAGGGGACCCGTCCCTCCCTCCCTCCCTCCCCGGGTGTGCCTTGTGAGTTGGCCTTGGGCTCATAGGGCTGTTTCCAGCTGTGGCGCTCAGGGCAATGCCCTCCTGTGACAGAAACTCCTCAGCCCACCCGCAACGTGTCCATCTTCTGTCCCTTACAGCCTTTCGTGAAACCAGAGAACAAATTCTGGCCGACCATTGCCCGCATTGACGATATCTACGGAGACCAGCACCTGGTGTGCACCTGCCCCCCCATGGACGTTTACGAGTCCCCGTTCTCCGAGCAGAAGAGGGCCTCTTCCTAGTCCTCGCTGCCCTAACCTAAGCACCCCGTATGCCTCTCTTCAGAGAGCTTGAAAAGAAGTACTTCCCCTCCCAACCCAGACTCAAGTATATACTGTGTATATTTTTAATCTGACAAGGTTAATGTAAATACACTCAGCGTGGTGAGTAGATGTTGACAGGAGTGGGGACTCGGCCTGTCAATGCCTCGGCAGCCTTGTCCGTGGAAGCAGTTGCTGTACAAGTTGCTTGTTTGGGAGCTGTCGTTTTCACATTTAAAGGGCACGCCAGGAGCTGTAGCGTTCGACGTAGGGTTTGCCGGCATTTTAGCGGCTGTGCTGGAGCCTCACTAGACCTATTTTTTTGTTCCAAATGAGTCCTTGTGAGCTGAGCCATCTGTGGGCGATCCAGGGCAAATGTTTACATTTTCTATACCCTGAAGATCTATTTTTCCTCCAACTAACTTTGCCTAATCTGAAATAGCATTTCTGAGCCTTTCTTTCTTTGTGATTTTTTTATCTACATTTATTAGTATTCTAATAAAAGCATTGCAGTTTGAAAAACTGGGTCCATCTGGGTCCACTTACTGGGTCCATCTTACTGCAGTGTGCCCTTGCTGTGTGGTTCTCTGGGTACCAAGGAGTTGATGGTAATGAGAAAACGCAGTCCAGCTGCTGTTGTTCCATTTCCAGTTCTCTGACTGGTTAAAGAAATAGTTTCTGCATCTTGATCAGCACTGAATGCCACTACAGCACTTTCATTAGAATTCCATTAGGCTCCATGTAACAGAAACCCAGCTACCAAAATGTAATTGAAACAAAAGGAGGCGCCGGAGGAGCACAGCGGGTGGGACGGAGTGGCGGGTGCGGGGGCTGCCTGCTAGGCGGCCGGGCAGGGCGGGCCCAGGGAGGCAGCTTCCATGGATCGAAGGGAATGCCAGGACCCTGCACATACAGACATGGGTCAGCCTCAGCACCGACAGTCAACAAGCAGAAAGCAAAGCGAGCTACAGGAAATCCCTTCAGGTCTTCGTTACAGCTTCGTGATGACTGCATCCTGTTCGCTGGTAGTTATAAACAAGGCCCTCAGGTTGAACCATGATTCCAGTGACGGAACTCCACTACTTTGCGGACACACAGCCGGCGTACCGGATTCTGAAGCCATGGTGGGACGTATTTACTGACTATATCTCCATCGTCATGCTGAGGATTGCTGGTTTTGGTGGGACGCTGCAGGTGACTCTGGACAAGATGATCTGCCTCCCTTGTAAGTGGGTCACCAAGGATTCCTGCAACGACTCCTTCCGGGCTTGGGCAGCTCCCAGCCCAGAACCCAGCTACCCCAATACAACACTCCTGCCAACTCCTGACACTGGCCCCACCGGCATCAAATCTGACCTGGACCGGCATTAGTACAACTATGTAGATGCTGTGTGTTATTAGAAAAAAAAAATTTAATCGAATATAAGTTTGGGGTTTTTAATTCCCAATTGACAAAACGCCCAGACGGACTAAGCCAAGAGCTTGTCTTCCTGGTATGCTTTCCTTTGTATACCGTTATCCTCATGTCTGCAAGACGGCTGCCATACACCAGACATCACATACACATCCCAGAAGGAATAAGACAGAACAAAAAAAGCAGCAACAAATTCCACTCAACGTGGCTTCTTTTGAAATGTTTTCCTAGAATTCCCATCCAGTAACAGCTGCTTGTTTTTCACTAGACAGAAACTGGTTCATATTGTTGCTTCTACCTTCATGTAGTTGTTTGACCAACAAGAAGAGTTAAAGAACTGAAGATATCAGCACACGGGTACTATTTGTATCAAGGTTTATTTCATTATCAATCCATATCAAGTCAAAGATCAGGGGCTTCATTCCTTTACAACATAACTTCTAAAATGCAAGTTGGGATTATAGAACATTTCTTCTAATGCAATTCAATCTTGGAGAGTTGGGGGGAAATTGCATATAAATTGTTATTTTTTTAGTGGACCTGTAAGAAAGCCACAACTCTGAGTACTCATGAGGTCCAGGTTTTCAGAACTGACATCAGAGGAGATGAAGCGTACCCTGGATGTTATGTGTGTTTTAATTTTGCTGGTAAGCACTTTGAATAACTCTGCCTATGCCACTTTTCATTTTCTAAAAATGTACATCTAAAGCTCTCATAAAAAAACAGACCGAAAACTTGGTAAGACTCAGGAGACTTAAGTGCTTTCAAATACTAAGTTATAAACTCCAAAAATGGTGGAATCCAACAGCATCACCAGAAGGGCTGTCGGTCATCCTAAAAAAAAATGCAGACGTTTCCCCAGTGGTGGTGCTGCTGGGAGCTGGACCCCAAGAGGAGAATGGAGTGTACACAGATTCTTAGGTCTGGTAGAAAGGGGAGGGAGATGATAACTTGTGTGCAGTCAAGATATTTGATCCAGTGTGAACTACGTAGGGATATTCAAGTTCCCTCAAATAGAAGATATTCTTAGATGAAAAGAAGCTGCTTCAAATGCATTCTAGAAGACAGCAGAGGCATCTGGGTAGGATGTGATGTAAACTTGCAAAACATAAAGGGGAGAGTTTATGGGAGGTGTGCCTGCTTTGGCGGTAACCTGGCATCTGTTCTGTCAGAAAGGCAGTTGCTAGCCTGTGACAATGCATGCCATTCAAAGACCTGCAGTCCTTGACTGAGCCTGAGGCTGGTGTGAGAGAGGCCAGAGAGAACCTGGCCCCTCCACCAGCTTCCTTACTGCCCAGGAATGAGCCCCTCTCACGAGTACAGCCCATGTCTTTTACAATATGAAGAGTTTCAGCAAGAAACGTGCCCTGCAACAGCCCTCTCTGCAGGACTCGGGAGACCCACACTGGCTGGCTGCGTGCTCATTCTCTGTGGAGTAGTGTCTTCCATCTGGTTTTCTAAGGACAAAATTAGAAATGTCATCTAAGATCACCTCAGTGAAGCAGAGTATGCAGGGCAGAGCAGGGCACAGCTTGGAATTTAAATTCTAGCTCTGCACCAGCGGGACGGAGGGAAGAACAGCTTCACGCCTGGGATGTGGGGATGATGCCGCTTGCTTCACAGGGTGTATGCAGTAAACCAGATGATGAACGGAAACTCCCCAACAGGGCTCATCATTGCTTAAGATGTTGACTGAACAGATGTGGAACCTGTCCCTGCTCGATGAGCCATGACAGGCTGGTGGGCTCTTCCCTCCTGACAGTGCAGAGGAGGAAAAGGCCACTTCTGGGGACCAGAGGAGACGGGACTCAAAACAAGGAGACACATGCAGTACATGTGTGACTTGGAGCCGGGAGGGAGGATGGCAGGAAAGACTGTGATGTGAAGCTGCAGTCCCGAGAGGGGAGTGGAAATTGGACTAGTTAAGACTTGGAGAGTGCTCGTGTGAGAACTGGAAAGGTGCTGCCTACTCCAGAGTGCTTGCTAGCGGTAGCGAGGGTGAGACTTCATTTCATACACTTGTAATCAGGAAGGCCAGTCCTTGGCAAAGGGCATCATCCTTGGAAAAGTGGAGGGTCACTGGAGAAGAGGAAGACCTTTTTGATGGGTTGACACTGTGTCACCATGGGTTTGACCGTGTTAGAGACTGGGAGGCAGGTGTAAGATCAGGCTGGCTTTCATGCTTTTGGGCACAGGGTGACCGAGTTGGAGCTGGTTTGTCGGCACCTGAGAACCACCAGCAGCTCAGGATCAGAGTGGAAAGAAAACCACCCCACATGAGGCTGCCTGCATTTCAACGCCGAAGTCCGTAATATCTGCACAGCACAGTCTTGTTACCTTGTTAACACACACATCCTATCGGTTGAGGAGTTGCGGGTGCCAGTTCTTGAGGCAGGCTTTTCCTCTCTGCTCTGGGCTAAGTCTTTGTTTCCCTTTAACAACTTTGGACTCTGCAAGCCTCGAGGCCTCATCCTGTGACTTGACATCAGAGTTCCCCAGGTTGAGGAGGGTCCCAGCACACAGACCTTGTACTCTCCTAAGTGCTTATTTTTCATCAGAACTTGCCAAATGTTTCCCTTTTTAGTAAGTGTTTTCTCAAGGAGAAATATTATTGACAAGTTAAAAAAAGTCTTGGCTGTAGGAAGAGGATTTCAGAAGAAGTGAACTCCCGACTAGGTCACAGGTCCTGAGTGAGTCTGGAAAGTCATAGCGTGATCTTGCTAACCGCCTTAACTTCTTGTGAGGTTACTGCAAAAAAAATCAAGTGTAAAAAGCTTTGAGTGTTGGGGCAGGATGTATAAATTTGAAATATATTCTAAGGGTCTATGGATCAGAAAAGATTACACAAGCTTGAAGGACATTTGTTAACTGTGACCTAAATAAACATTTACATGTAGGGTAGCTGGAGACAAACATAATGGGAATTTTACTATGATGATTCAGAGACTTGACAAATCCTAACTGTGAAGTAGTTGAGCAATCTAGCTGATGGTTTTCCAGACAATTAGAACATAGGGTAGGTGTATGGGAAGGGAAATGTCTCTTGGCATCAGGCAGAGTTCTAGTTAGAAGCTGCTTGGAGAGAGATGACATCACTGGAAAATGTCCATGGGGTCTCTTAAATGGTTATTTTTCATCTATCAGGACTTACCAAAAGCTTCCTTTTTTAATACCTGTGTTTTCTCAAGGAGCATGCTATTGGTAAGTTAAAAATAAAATCTTGGCTGTAAGTAAAGATTTCAGACGTGGAAGGGAACTCCTGACTGTGACAGGTCCTGAGTGAGTCTGGAGTCATCAGTGTGATCCTCTACCAGCAAGCTGGTCACTATTTGTAGCACGCAGCTATTTCTGCATGGCAGATTGCTCCAAATGCTGCCACTTACTATTCCACAGTTCCTGGGAGTCCGGAATTCCAGACGGGCTCAGCTCAGGGTCTCCCATAAGTTGCACTCAAGAAATGCAGGACCCTAGAAGCTCGCCATGAGGGAGAACACAGTTTAATAGCTTTGGAGGTTCCTAGTAGACTGCAGGACCTGGCTGGCTGTTGTTGCCTGGAGACTTCAGTTCC